ACACACACACACACACACACACTCTCACTCCCTTTTGGTTATACACATGGACCCAGGGAAAAGGCCTGAGACTGAAAATCGACCTCCATAAGCAAAGGGCAGGGAAAGACCAGAGACAGGCAGGGCACTCCAGCCTGGCAGAGCTTTTTAAGGGACACTTTCATACTATGCTCATCTTGGGCTGTGGCAAGAGGAAATGCATATCCTCTGAGGTGCTTGGCAGGACTAAAGGCTTATGTGGAACAGAGCAGGATGGATGGGGCACTAGACGCATCTCAGATGAGGGGCAGTGCCTGCGCGCTTGCCAGGAACCAGCACAGTGTGGGGCATCGGGGAGTCCATCTGACAGTCTCGGGGGGATTTGCGGGAAGCAGTCTCCCGCCTGGCTTTACGGAGCCAGCCCCTGTGCTGGCCCAGATCTAATCTAGCTCGTGGGGCCAACGGCGGTTGGAGCAGCGCCCCCTCCACACCTTGTGAGACTATCAGGGAGCGCGCTGCAGACGTCGTTTACCTTCCTTCTGAATATGTCAGCGTGCAGCTCCATCAGCCTCATGGCCACCCCTCAGAAAGCATCAGTCCGGTCACGCCGTCCCCCATGCAGTCCAGACACAGCTCCCGCCCACTGTCTGACGCCCGTGCTCCTTTCCCCCGGCTCATCTGGCATCCCGTCGAGGCTCGCACCCTTTCTTTTGGTCTCCCCAGGTTAGCCCATTTTCATGGTCCAGACTCTTCTGTGAAGCCGACCTTGGACGTCTGGACTAGATGTGTTGTACAGCATCCCACCTGAGTTCATCTGCTTTGCCTTGTGCTTAGGTTTAGCAAGAACCCTTCAGAGGTGATGATGTGGTCTTTCCACTCTGTCACGTCCGGAGGTGCCAGCCTGGACTAGGTGGTTAAGGCTGTAATATTCCTCATTATAAACACACATAGAAAGCCCTTTGTAATGAATACAGTTAGTAGGTAATCTGTGGGGTGATTCCGTGAGACATTGTGGGTATCCTGTTCCCCCATAGTTTTTAATCCAGTGGATTAAGTTACATTGATGATCCTGTCCTAAATCATTCATTATATTGGGAGTTATAAATGGTATTTTCAAGTTTTGTCATTCTGTCCATATTTGTTACCCAACATTCTTATGTAAAGATGTGCTCTCCCCCGCCTCACCCCATCCTTTTATCTGTCTCTTTTAATGGATTCTTTTGATGCCCAAATTGTCCCAAATTTGGCCAGTGGGAATTTCTTCAAGTTGGCTCTGTGTTCATTTGGAATGACCCAGTTAGCCTCTGAGCCCTCCCTTGCATTCTGTCACAATAAGATGTTTCAGCCACACTTTCTACTTTCTCTTCTTCAGACCGGGAATAGCCATTTCCCCAAGGAGCTCTAGCTCAATTTATTAAAATTAACACACATTGAGTTCCTGTAGTATGTGAGGTACTGAAATCGGGAGGAGAAAAGCTGAGTAAAATACAATTTTACAGTCTCTGACTTCAATAACTTCGTTAATGGGTAGGAAAGACAAATACATATGAAAACAGTCATTATAATGTGTTGTGATACAGATTAAATGATCTTAAGTGCAAGCAATATAGTAGAAACTTGGAGAGATTTATTGTGACTGAGGGATGAAACGGTCTTCACAGGTCTCGGGGTGGGTAGGATTTTTGCCGGGAATTGGGGAGGGACGGCTCAGACAGAAGAGATCAGCAGCGGGAGAGCGAGGTCAGTTACATACAAAAAAACTCATTGTTTTCTGTATGTAACTCTCCCTTCCTCGGGGCCTGTGCACATGTGACATCCCCCCACCACGTCTGGAGTGCTTTCCCTCATTTTCATCTTAGAGCTACCTTAAAGTCCCCGAAAAGCCTTATTTGGAGTTATTATCTCTCCCCCCTCCCCCCATCACCTACTTTGCTATGAGAGTAATCACTGTCGTTAGCATTCCTTACTAGAGCTTCCCCATCATCTCATTCCTCATACACATTGTCGCTGTGTTCTGCCAGTGACCTGGGCCTCAGGTGTGCAGCTTGTCAGGCTGCCAGCCTGAGGGCCTCAGGGCGGTCCAGTAGGTTGAATGCCTGTGCTGTGCTGTGTGTGTTCTGAGCATGTGCAGCTCTCCTAATGCACTTGGTTCTTTCTTCCTCTCCGCTGATCCGAGTTCTGTATGTGTCCAGAGGTATGTAACAGTATGCCGAATGCATGTTAATTAGAGTGTTAGTGACTCTCCGTGTAAAACTACAATAGACTAGCTCCAGGGTCTTTTACCTTGTCCTAGAATTACATAAATTAAGACGATCTCTTATTTTCAGAGCTTCAGTGAAGATGTGTTCCAGTCTGTGAAGTCCTTATTGCAGAGTGAGAAGGAGCTGTGCCGCGTGTCATCAGAGGACTGCGTGAGGCAGGACGGACGCGCCGCCTTCACTGAGGTTTGACGTGTTAGCCTTCTGTACCCTGTCCTGATAAAACACAACGTATTTTCATACATCTTTGGAGAATGGCATGATCTATTTTCAGAATGCCTCAAATCTTTACATACTAATATATGTATGAGAAGCAATTGTTTTAAATACCTGCCAACATGATTGTCATGGTGTAGTCTCACAAGCACGTTTAAGTCAGTGAACCGGCCTTGTTGGCCTCTCATTGGACGTACCGCGCTGTGTTAGAGAATTCCTGCTACATTCGGTAATTGGTGCTTTAACAGTAAGATGTTCTACTGTGAAACATAAAATATATACTTATTTCTCATATTCATTTTTGGGGGGTTAGTGTTAGTTTTCTTGATTGTTTAAATTCAGTGCTGTGATTCACAATGAAAAAGCAGTGATAAATTTATTTTGAAATTCAGATAATTACTACTTAAAGATAAAATATGCCACTTGCTCACTGTTTCTCTGCTATACCAGTGTTCCCAAACTTTGTTTGAATGTATTATTATAAAACGGAATAACATTTTATTCTACAATATAACCATAGTTCATAAACACATTTGTGTTACCAAATAAGAGAGGGTATAAGGTCATTGAGTCTCAAAAATAAGGTGTTAGGTTGTTAATTAAAAAAAATTTTTTTAAATCATGCTCTAATAAAAAATTTTGGTTTTCCTTATTTTGGGGAATGCTTTTCTTTCCTTGAGAAACTATATTTGAGGTCGTTCCGTGGGAGGATAAGCACAGCTGTGGCCTTGACTCTGGTCTTCTTTGTCCTCCTGTTTTATACTTGATTTTTGCAAAGCTGAGCCACTCTCCATCTCCTCAGTCGTGGCTGAGTGTGGCAGGTCTCCTGTGTCCTTCTGCCCTCAAGCGTTTTCCAGCCTGTGTCCCATCAGCTGCTTATGTGGCAGCTCTCTGACCGCGTGCCTTGGTGAGGCCTTCCTCCACCGATGGGACGTAAAAGAGTCTACTGGCATCTTCTAAAGCCCGTCAGCTTCCTTTCTCTTCTGTGTTCAGGAAAAGGAAGCTTGAAAGAATAGAAGGCATTTCTGTCTCACTTGAGGGTGTGCGTGTCTCAAAGTTTCTTTTTGCCGAAAGGAAGGACATTTGTTACTGGAGTGTCTCTTTGTTTTGAGTGCCTGTGCTGTGCGAGGCATTTCCCTTTACGTTATCCGATTACCCCTCCCCAGTGGGGACAAAGCTGTATGGCCTTAAGTTTTACAGATGAGGAGACAGGTTACTAGAGGTTGACAACTTACCTAGACACCTAGAAATGTACTGCACCAGTTCTGTGAAGTGATAACCCTTGTTAATCAGAATGAAGATCCTGGGATAATTGACGATGCTGCCTGCCTTCTGAATCATCAGAGATGGAGAATATATCAAGTATTGTTTAAATTTTCACTGTGCTGTTTTCCCTTAATTGCTGGGATCGATTATCCATATTGATAAATGGCATCATCGAAGTATTTCATATTGTTATCACGGTACTTGCCTAGTAGACAGTTTGCTATTTTGTTTCAAATGGAAAAACATTTCTTTCGATGTCAAAGACATAAAGAGTATACAATTTAAAATAACACTTTTTTTCAGATTATAAAAGCAGTACATATTCCTTGTAGAAAAATAAATACTGAAAACAAAAAAGAAACTATCATTAATCTTATGAATTAGGGGGAAAAAAAACCATGGTAAAGAAACTTAGAAAAAAATAACATCACTTAGAATTCCATCACCTAGAGCAGCGGTTCTCAATCTGTGGGTCGCGACCCCTTTGGGGGTCGAACGACCCTTTCACAGGGGTCGCCTAAGACCATCAGAAAACAAAAAGATATTTACATTACGATTCATAA